ATATTCGAACGCTGAGACAGCTCATGTAAAATGTATGGGGACCATTTACCTTGTTTTTAGAGCGCACAAAGCGAAACTGGCGAAACGCAACGCGGAAGGCGGGCCCAGTGTGCTGGTATTACAAAAATGCGTGGTTTAAGTCTCTGGAATTTTAATGAAGGAGGATACGGTTTGTTTGGGGGGCCTGTTTCGGTCTGATACGGACAGCTATTTAGCTATATTATAATTGCTTCGTGTGTCTTTATCGGATGGTGTTAATTTTATTATAGGTATTTTTAAGTAGATGTAAATGACTAAGGGAAAAATGCGAACATCAAGCCTCTTCAACCCGCCTGGCCAGAGCGTGGAGAGTGTAGGTCAAATTCCATTTGCCTCGTGCTCCTGTGGACACGAAATGACCTTATAATGAGGACCTTTATTAGTTTTGAAAACTTTATGAAAATACTAACGTTCCAATACTAATGACATGTGTTTATGCGTCCTTCTTATACCCTCTGGGTATCGGTATGGTATATTTATACCATGGTAATTATGAACATGGTATAATTACAACATAAACGAAAGAGTAAAGTATTAAATACTTCTATGAGACAACATATTTTCATGTAGAGAGTAGATACCTAGGTACCGTTACATTCCCTCTAATATGGTCGAGTGAAGCGATGGCTGGTTCACTCGTCATGTCTGTGAACAGGCGCTGCTTTCGGGGACTGGTCAATCCAAGTTATTCCAATTTATGTATGCGAGTCATTTCTACTAGTATTTAAGTGTGTTATCTGTAAGTCTAGATATTAGCACGTCACTACCTTGTTTAATAAACCACGCAATTTTGTATACCCATTCTTATAAGATACACTATACAAGATTGCATGGTAAATTCAGTGAACTGCTCCTGAATCGAATGTACCTACTACTGCTATTTCTATTTATTTATATTAACCGGCAGACAGTGGTGACTGAGTTTGTTGCGGCGCTTCTTCTCAGCACTTGCCAAATGTTGGTCTCGAAGCGCTGGTAGGGTAAAAAGATTATGAGACATGTAGAGGCTCCTTAAGAGCAAAATGACGATTTGTAAGAACTATTTATTAGTCTAAACAAATAAAGAAAATTTTGACTTTGACTTTGACTTTACCTATCTAATCTAGGTAGTAAAATAATCATTGTGTCACATAACTGTGCGCATCGCGGAAAATCCATCACTCAGTGTCACACGGGGTAAGTAAAGCAAATAATACTCGTACTCGCTGTGAAAATCGATTACCTTCCAATGTGTACAGTTGTACACGTATATAATAAAAAAAAATTCAAGCAACTTTTTTAAGAAAAGTGATAAAACAACAATAAAAAAATAAGACTAAGTATGCGAGAGGTATAGGTAAACGTAACGTAACATTTGATGAAACATTTTTAGCACTCACGTAAGTAGGTAACAAAGAATTTAAAAGCAAACAAAAATAACAACACTTAAACAAATTAAATGATCAGAGCTTATCTGTACCGGCCTTACTTTGTTACCTGTTTTAATGAACGCGTGTAATGAAGCGAGAATTTATTTATCGAGGCCATAAATAAAGTGTAGCTCAATCTGGCAGAGCCACAGCCCGGAGGAACCAGAAAGTAGATTCAGGATGAAGGCTTTTAAAAATACTAGCTTTCCGCCCGCGGCTCCGCCCGCGTGGAATTTTGTCTGTCACAGAAAAACTTTCTCGCGCACGTCCCTGTTTCAAAAACCGGGATAAAAACTATCCTATGTCCTTTCCCGGGACTCAAACTATCTCTATGCCAAATTTCATAAAAATCGGTTCGGTAGTTTAGGCGTGAAAGCAACACAGACAGACAGACAGACTTACTTTCGCATTTATAATAGTATATAGATGAACATAAAAGTAATATTATAACTGTAATCATGTGTTTTTGTTGATAGTAGATGATAGGCTTACTAATCTAGAACTCATGATCCTTGAGACATAAAAGTTCTCAAATGACAACCACGAACTGGAAAACGTAGAGTAAGTAGGCAGGCCTTCCACTCGGTGGACACACACAAGAGCGGTCGTTGTGGAATTTAGATTTGAAAAAACGCGCAATCGGTATACCAATTTGAACCGTGATAGATCAAGGATAATTTATTTAGAAATAACTGTTTAAACTGTTTTCTTTGAGCTGTATCACTACTGTAATATCCAACAAACACATTTACGTATGCTTGACGTCAAACTTCCTATTTTAAGAACGACGAAAGTAACTTATTGATTTGTGGCGACAATTTTGCATTGGACTATGTTTTTCTACGAAAATCTACTGTCGATTATCTGGGGGCACGGCAGTGCCCCCACCAAGTCGAGCTAAAAAGCGGCACGGCCGTACCATCCTTTTCTCGAAGCAATTCAGGCCATTTTCGACCGCCTGTAACTTCGTTGTGGATAAAACTAGAAGGCTGAATTTTCATTAGCTATGCAGGCATTGTAAAGACACGGTATATTTAAAATTTCATTCAATTTGAACCAGTAGTTTAAGAATTATAACGGGTCAAAGTTACTTAATTTTGTCACTCACTGACTCACTGACTCACTGACTCACTGACTCACTGACTGACTCACCGATCATCAAAATTCTAAGGCACTTCTAGCAGACCTAGAAGCTTCAAATTTGGAATATAAGTAGTGTTTGGTGTATGAATCAAGGAAAAACTAAAATATTTGGGGGCACGGTAGTGCAACCGCCAAGTCGAGTAAAATTTTTCAATTTCGGTCCAGTTTTCTAGATACATAACTGCTGTCTACAAAATACAAAAAGAAATGAGATCCCATCAAAAACAATACTTGTCAAAAAAACCAAGTCTCGCAACTCAGTTGTTCTACGGTAAAAAGTTGTGAGATCCATGTAATACCAAGTCCAGGCCAGGAAATCTTTAACGTTTTACATAAATTATTGACTTGGCCATCGCACTAAATAATTTAATTTACACGTGTTTTCATGCGATGGCCAAGTCAATATATTTATGTAAAACGTTAAAGATTTCCTGGCCTGGACTGGGTATTACATGGATCTCACAACTTTTTACCGTAGAACAACTGAGTTGCGAGACTTGGTTTTTTTGACAAGTATTGTTTTTGATGGGATTTCTTTTAGGAGAATTCAATTCCCGAATTTCATTTATTCTTAAGTTTTTATGGTACCTATATAAGTTAGTTTTTGTAGTATCACTGGTATCACTTACAAAGTTTAGTTATTTTGTAAGTAAGAAATGATGAAAATGGACTAAAACAAAGATTTGATTGTTTTGAGGATCTCAACTTTCTTTCATTTTACGTTTGTTTTAATCAATGGGCAAATACAGCTCGATGTCAATCTTTGGTCTAAAGTATGAGAGATTCTCCAAGTCTATGGGAGCACTCTACACCCAACTATGGGTTACTAAACCATCGTAAGTCCATACTTTAGGGCCCCAGTGCGGGTTGGATAATGTTATCAAACCGCTTTCAAGCTTCTGACAAGGCTTAACGAGTTATGTTTGTGTATTATGTATGCTCATTTTGTGGGTATATCATGTTAGTAATAATGCCTCTCTGTGGCATAGATATGCTTGTGATAACTGCCACGCAAGTTGGTTGGGATAGTCATATTAGTCATAATAAAATACAAAAGTCTTTAGGATTTTATTCAGGTTAATTTGTAAGTTCATTCATCTGGCAGGTACTCACTAAACGGTTTCCAAAAGTTACAATTTGACGAATTATTTGAGTAAGAAATATAGAAGTAGGTAACCAATAACACAAAGAAGACACTATAGAATTTCTAATATATTGGTATTCATCAACGCAAGCAGACGTATCGAGTCCTGGTCAAGTTCTTGGAGGCTCGACGAGAAAATGAGTAACTCAGTACTTTTCCTTTTGATGCCCACAGTGGGGGAACCAAACTTGTACATATGCTTGCAGCAAACCTTGAAGCCTCTAGTGCAACCAGGGACGGAGGGGTCGAAGCTCATGGTGGTGCAGTGGCGAATGTCGATGCAGATTCCACCACGCGCCCAGCAGGTGGCAGTGGTCGACCCTGTAGTATGTGTAAATGAGTTTATTGGAGTCGGCCGTTTGGTGTAGTGGTTCAAAACGGACAACTATTCCGGAGGTAGCGGGTTCGATTCCCGCACAGTACAAACATTTGTGTGCATGAACATATTTGTATGTATTGGACTGGGTGTTTTCTATGTATAATATGTATGTATTTAAAAAAAAAGTATTTAAGTATGTTTATATCCGTTGTCTAGTACCCATAGTACAAGCTTTGCTTAGTTTGGGACTAGAAGCGCAGTGTAAAATGTCCAAGGATATTTATTTATTATTTATTTATTTATTTATTTGTCCTAAATAACTAGTTAAGTGGTTTATTTGTCCTAAATGATTAGTTAACTGACACATCAATAAAAATTAAATAAATATTCGTTGACATTTTGCACTGCATAAATCTCCTCTTTTGTCACCCAAAGCGAGCAGAAATGTTCTTCTAAATTAGACAACTTTCAACTTTTTAATTTCTAGATTAGCAATAGTAGGATATGCTAAATCTTCTTAACTTATGAATTGGCTCGAGAAACCGCCTATTTTAGCAAATCTATGGTAGTATAAAGATTTAACAAACCAAGAGTAGGTTTTCCACCAGGAAGCCCGGGCAAAAACACATCCTTATAATTTTTTAATTCCGAAGACCCGGTTATGTCAAGAGACGTAAGTCCACATGCCTGTAAACTTACTATAATAACAAGATACGCCTTCCAAAGCCACATTATCTAAAAAAATAAACCGCGAAAAATAATTTCTTTTATAATTGATGCACTATTAAAACTGTTGAGCATTACATTTCAATCATGCTTGAGTAGTTTATTGCTTTCGTTCATTGGCTGCATAGAATTAACTTGGTAACTACAAGCAGGGAGTTAGCAGTAGGTACGAGTAGGTAATCAAAATTCACCTCAGTCTTAACATTTTATTTATTTGTCCTTATACCGTTATTATAAAAGCGATTCTCTTGAAGTCATTGTCATTACGATTACGAGTGGATCTCAAAGCTGATCGCAGAGTTTTCTTTTTATTTTTTTTCGATTTAGCTTTTTTGTCAACCACAACGACGCCTTCTCCACCAAACTCCTGCTGCAACGTCCAAGGCATAGCCAGCGAGCCGATCCCCTCGTGTCTGTGATCCCTTACATTGAATTTATTCCACACGAAGCAGCAAACCTTCAACTTATCCTTGCATCCGGGGACCTCTGTGAGAAACTTGAATCCAGTGCAAAGGTTGTTGTTGATACAAATCCCACCAAGTTTCCAGCAAGGTGTAGTTAGCATCGACCCTGTGGACATAACATGCATTTGTAATATAATGAGGAATGTGTAAGGGATCTCCCATGGGGACTTCGCTAAACGTGTAGGTAAGCGTGGCGTGGATACGAGTCTTGCCGAAAACGTGAAATAATGTGTGCGTGAGTTGTATTTATTAGCAGCCACCAAAAATAGGTTTACGACAATGTTTCGTCCTTGGAAGGTAAATCGTTTTATGATAAAAGAATGATGGATTTGATAAGTTTGGCAAGACTTTGAAACTTTGTGTACAACAAAACATGATAGTAAGCATAGTTTTTTGCTTTTTACTATTTGGTAGTATTAGCATTAATGCTGCATTTACATAAAGTTTACATAAAATATTAGTACTGAATAAAATGAACTTACTTCGACCATCAGAAGCAATCGACGCTAAGGCAGTGTGGTAGGCAAGAAATTCTGCCCTCAAATCTTCGTACTCCTCGTCGTGAGAGAGATCCAAATTTTCATCATTTCCCAACTGTGATATAAGATTGCCTCCAAAATCAGAGTCTCCAGAATCTTGTTTTGGTTCCACTCCGAAGCGGACCAGTATAATATTTAAGACCATAAGTAAATGCAACATTTCACTTGCGAGCGAAAATTTAAACCTACATGCATCCACTTTTAGAGACTTTTTACGAGGCAAAATACATAAATTCAAGATAAGCCGAGCAGCCAAAGGATTTAGCAATCAAATATAAAAATATATTCTGGCTTGAAAATTCCACCAGAGTGCAGAAAGTGGCAGTTAAAAATTTCGATATTTTGTAAAAGAGTTAATCGGTTGTTATGTAACTTCACTGGTTATAAGAGTGTCATAATTTTCGGGTAAATTGAGTGACAAAAAATGCTCAAAACTTCAATCGCTCGGTAGTAGCTATTCTCTTGCTATCGAGGTCACTATTTTCCATCAGATTTCAGTCTTTACTCAATACTGAATTCCTTAAGCTTCTGACTTTATTTTCTTTCATCTTACACCACTGTCTGCTGATGCTTGCAAAATTAAATAAGATTGTAGAAAGAACGCCCATCTGATTCCATAATTTCTGAAGAACTTTTCCTTTTTTTGCATATTGGAGAGATAAATTGGAACAGAACATTTTATTTTAATAAAAACGTATCTTTAAATTATTTTCAGAGATTTTTCTGCATCCCTTCTTCCTGTATTTTAATGAATTATGCTTTTGATGACTCGATCACCAGCGGCAGATAATTATTTATTTACTTTCGTGTTTTTGTGGGAGTATAATATTTAAACAATTATTTTAAGAAATTGTATTTTCAACGCTTCAGTAACATTTTCAACACATTAATAAATGTATATGCCTAGGTAATGCCAAAACTGTTTGTTATGTATAAGTAATTTATTAAACAGTAGACCTTCTTACTAGAGTCAGTGGTTTCAGAGATTGCAATATTCAAAAATATGGACATAGGTTCACACAAAATGTTTTTCCGGTGGATTCAACTACCTACGTACATTCCACAGCCACCTTTCAACGCAGTTGTAAGTACAGGTGACATCACTGAATGACTTTTGTTGCAAAATAGTACCTATTGCAACTATATATCATAAGGTGCTACGGTGTTAAGCTTGATGCGCATCGTCTGTACATAGGTCACACTACTAAATTATTGAAGCTTCAGTCGGATCAATCAGGTCCGAGCGGAGGCCGTCGCGTCCGCTCAAAGGCTTTCGCAAACAATTCCCATTCGGCGGGTATACGAAGATTTCAACGTTTAACGTGTTTTTGATAAATCCTAGTTGGAATATTTTGAGGTCAAATGCTATCTTGTCATTACAGTAAAATAATTTGAATACCTAACTACCATACGAGTAGAATTGGTTTCCGTGACTGGAACAACGTTTATACACATAAATTCACCAGTAGTCGCTTAGCATGTATAGCACGAAATACGTTTTGTTCAGGTATACGTTTTGTACAAGTAATTTTTTTTTTAATAAAGAAAAATATAAAACAAAAAGCGAGCTGACTCTACATTACTCGTACTACACTGCAAATTACTTGTAACATGTACAGGTCATCGTACCGTTCGGCGTTCTATCACGAAACATATTCAACAAGGCGTTACGCTACATGTTACAGCTTAATCTATCAAACTAACGAGTGAATTTGTGTAACGTGTCAAGAGACACAGGCAACACTTGCGGCGCAAAGTAAGGTTTATACAGGGTGTCTTTTTAAGTATAGCTCAAACAAAAAGTCTTGATTCTACTGCTCAAATGCAAAAAAAAATCTACAGAAACAATATCGAAATTCCCAAAAAGAAAATTCACGTCCCCATACTAATTTAGCAGATCAGTTGTGATTTTGTATGGAAACTTTTTTTTTTTTTTTTTGAAGATATGAACTTCCTGCTCTTGAGGAAAATTATTGCATTTGACCAGTAGAATCAATCTTTTTTGTTTGATCCATACTTAAAAAGACACCTACAATACAAGAACGAAATGCTCAATCACCGTGAGCTTATACAGTCCAGAGGTAGGTACATCAGATTTTTTTTTTGAAAAATACCACCTTTTACAGCTATATTAGATGCCACAGTGCTTACCTTGAGATGCTATCGTCTGTACGTCGAATAAAGGATTCACAGGAACGGTACAATACTTACCAAGAAACCCTCTCCTTAATTGAGTTTTCGCTCGTATTTTAGTGTAATCATGCACTGCCTTTTAAGTCAAGGATGAAAAAGAAACATTTCTGACTAGAATTTCTCTTGGACTTGACGTTTCTACTCACAATTGATGTCCATTGTGGCTAAAAACTCCCCAAACGGTCCGAAGCAGTAAATTCATTTCCCAAAAACGCTATTCATTGTTTGTAACTCGATAGTCGCTCAATCGGCCTGGAAGTTTCGAGAAGAGTCAAGAATCGGGAGTGGCTTTGCGTTTGCCTTGTCACATGTTCCTATTGGATATTCGTATTTCTGAACAAAGTTACAGCCTTCTCTTTAGTTACTTTACTTTAAGGGTGGCTGGTTGAATGAGGTACTTAGAACTTCTTCGGAAATTCCACTCGTGTTTACAAAACTTAAGTATCCTCTGAGATTGAAATCGCTAAGTTGCTAAATCTATATGAAAACCGTCAACCTATTTTGACGATTAAGGCATAGAAATGAGAGCTATATCCTTCTTGTAGACATTACGTAACATGGCAAAATAAACACAGAACTAGTTATTTAGTGTATTCGTTATCCCACTGAACTTGGTCAATCGCTAGATATCACGCTACATTCGTTTCTACACGTGTCAATGTAATCTTAGTGGGTGGTTTTGGGTGTGGTAGTATACTCGTGGATATCACCTAGACTAGAGAATAAACAATGGACACACGAGATGGGAAATCAAAGAAAGGAGATAACCGTTGTATTCTGTATAGGGATAGTCTACACCTAAGGGTAAACAAAAGGCAATCCCCAATTGATTCGTTTATCGGTAAACTGCCAGACTCAATGTGTTTAATCTTCTCACGCCGCCGTTCCATCTCAAAGACACGGTCATTAGACTTAAACAAATAAATAGCGGGCTAAGGTCAATAAAGCCTACAAATTATATTAGTTTGTCCCCTGACCTTCTCCGTAATTGAATAGACATGAGACAGCAAGTCCTTTGTCGCAACTGCAATTCCAAGGAGCGTGGTAATGGTCCCTCTTTGTCATTCGGGGCGAGTCTGAGATGGATGGGGATAGGCCCGTGTATTCAGCTGATGTCAGGACCTGGTGTGCTTGTATTTCTTGCGGCAGTGGATGATCCGGTATTTACGGTAATTGTTACGTTGCTGGCTAGAGATTAGGGTGAAACAATAATAAGAAAAATGTTCAGTCAGGTTAAATTAGTCTTAAACGTTAAAAGACAGGTTGTTTAAGATAAAGATAAATATACATTTATTTGTTGAAACATCTGTACAAAAGGTGTTAAATGCTACATTTTATTCCAAAAAATTGGTGCTGTGATTTGATAATAATATGATAATGTAGAGGCACAGGTAGAGGGTAAAAAAGTATTCATGGTAGGTATGACCGCGACACGCTCATCCATTTTTTTTTATTATAGGCTAAAATCAACGTGAGAAAACAGTTTGGATGAAATCATTCAAATCATTGGAAACACACAATAAAGTGTCAACGTGGCATTCGACGACACCAAAGCCAAAAGTATCAAAGAAATAGGAAAAAATGGTATAAAAGTTATCCAAATGCTTGTAAATTTTGTTTGTACCCTACAAATAGAAACTGTTATTGTACTACTGTTATAACAGTAGCAGGAGTCCCGAGAGAACGTATTGAACAGTTACACCCAATATGCTTGCTGCTCTGTAATTCCACAGGTCACTGGTTTGGACACAACCCAAATCAGGTACTTTTAAAGAGCTAGTTCCAATAGTCATTTCCTTTGAACTCGGCATTCAAAAGACATAATTAATCTTGAAGAAGTTTACAATAAGTACCTATCCACCGGTTAAAACTTGGAGTCAGTTATTACGAAGCAAAATATTCTTACTCCATTGTTTTTTTTGCTACAGAACTTTATGAACTCTAATTCATTTGTGGATTTACCTTCCGTGGATTTTACAATAGGGGCCTTATAAAAGAATTGTATATTTTTCAATCTATACTATCTATACTTACTAATATTATAAATGCGAAAGTAACTCTGTCTGTCTGTCTGTCCGTCTTTCACGCCTAAACCACTGAAGCGATTTTGATGAAATTTGGCATGGAAATAGATAAAGTTTTTCTGTGACAGACAAAATTTCACGCGGGCGAAGCCGCGGGCGGAAATCTAGTTTTCTATAAATTTAAAATGAAATGCAACTCGCAAAACTCAAGATTGGCTGAAACAAGTGAAGTATAGGTAGTTTAGTTTAGTTATCTAAAAAACTATTTTTATTTCATTTACAGAATGGGATTGGATAGAATCCATGAATATTTACGAAGTTTAGCCTTCCGTAATAATCTCATTGCTGACACTTCAAAGAACTTTAATTGTACTATTTAAATACTCGGAAGACCGTTGATTAATAGCTTTCAAATTGTATCTGGCTCGCAACAAACAAGGAAAACATAAATCGGTTTTACAAACGATGCTCCTTAATTGCGAAGTCAATTTTGGTGGGTTTGGAACTTCTAAGAAAATGTTCCCCCTTTCACAAAAGGTAACATATTCAGGTAACTTAATTATTTGTGATAACCTAAACATTAATTTTTTTTAACACTTACCTACAGATGTGTTGTGACTAATTATCATGAAACATTGAATAATCTTCTGGACAATAATAATATCATAATAAAACATGGTGTAATAACCTTATATGGCCAATAAAATCAAGGCACCATAATTAAAACCCACGGTAAAAGGCCTCACGCGATCAGAATCCTAATCAAGGTAAACACAAAAGGTATCGAGCTCCTTAATTACTTGTATTAGAGGAGCTTATACCAGGTATAATGAAGTTTTGGCAACATTATTAATCAAAATATGGACAAAGCTATTATCTACTTGAAACTGCCTTTTGAAGTTATGAGAGTATTGCCTTCGTCTTCGTA